GAAGAATTTCTTCCTTATATCTAATCTAAATCTCCCCTCCTTCAATTTAAAGCCATTGCCCCTTGTCCTGTCAGTACATGCCCTTGTCAAAAGGCTCTCTCCAGCTTTCTTGTAGCCCCTTTAGGTACTGGAAGACTACTAGAAGGTCTCCCCGGAGCTTTCTCCAGGCTGAACAAGCCCAACTCTCTCAGCCTGTCTTCACAGGACAGGTGCTCCAGCCCTTGCGTCATCTTTGTGGCCTCCTCTGGACCCGCTCCAACAGCTTCATGTCCTTCTTATGTTGGGGGTCCCAGAGCTGAACGCAACACTGCAGGTGGGGTCTCAGAAGAGCAGAGTAGAGGGGCAGAATCACCTCCCTCAACGTGCTGGCCACGCTTCTTTTGATGCAGCCCAGGTCCAGGGGAATGAATGAGAAAAGAGGAGGACTCTTCTGCTCTTCAAATTCTCTCTTCTGCATGTTGCTTCTGGAAATGAGGCTAGTCATTGAAGGACAGGACTTGTCTTCAGCAGTAAAACTAGCTTGAGTTACTGAGTTTCTGAGCTTTGTGGAGGGAGAACGGCCATGGTTGAAGGAGGATGCAAGAACAATGAAAGTTGAGCTAGATGGTGATACACTGTCCTCCTCTGTCAGGAACTCCAGAGAAGGTACCACTGGAGCTGGGTCCTGTGTCTACCAGTGGGTCATTTGGACTCAACTGGAAGCACTGATTAGCTTGAGTTAGAGCTATAGGTAAGAGCTACAAGAGAGTGCTGTGGAGGCAGGACTATGGCTTGCTATCACTGTTTGCACTGCTAAATTCCTAGTGAAGGCAAATTTGGAAATTTCTAAACACTTGAAGCTAAAAAAGCAAGTATGTGACAGTCTAGGCAGTGATTCTCTCTCCGTACGAAAAATGGTATTCCTTTCAATATTCTCTTAACTTGTTTAATTTTTTTTTTTTTTTTTTTGCAGGTAAATTGAGAACTTCCTCCTGCTGGAAGACATCCCAGTGCAGCATGAATGAAATTGCCGAATTCTTCCAGTTGGATAATTTTGATTTCTTTTGTTGCCAACATGACTTGTGCAACGAGAGCGCAATTACTGAGGTTAACAAAGCAGCCTTCAGTATTGCCTCTGTACTGACCATGTTATGGATGCTTCTGTAATAATCCTGATTTGTATGCTGTACTTTCAAGCTGAAATTATACAAAATCATTAACTCTTTTCTGAATTATACTTCTCGCATTTTCAGTTCAGGGCAGAAACATTACCTTTTAATTTTAAATTCTGTTTCCTAACATTCCATCTGTTAAATTGCTGTCTCCATTCATGAGAAGGAGACGTATGTTGTTGCCAGTTACAGGGAGTTTGGGTATTTTGGCCTGCCCTATTCATGGGGAAAATAACATGTTATGAAGTAGCATAATCTTGTGGAGAACCTGGGCAAACGTCAGTAGGCGATGTGAAAGAGAAGGAATACTATAGGATTTATGCTGGAAAACTATCATTTCGTACCATGCCATAAATTGTAATTATTTTTTGTTGGGATTTCTGTGAGGTTGTTCCGGGTTTTTTTTTGGATGATCCTTTGTCATACACCAAGCTATGGATTTGCCCTCAACACAAGGAGTGTTGGATCATAAGTATAAACTTGCTGCAGTCTTCATGATGAGTATGGAAATGTTTAAAGTGATGCAGACTCTTTTGTTCCCATCACTGTAACGTTTTTTTGGTGTGGTTTTTTTTTTTTTACAAGCTAATTATATAACCTTGTAAGTACCATTATTTTGGGAGAAAGCATCTACATTTCTTAAACCAAAAACCAAAATAATGCTGTAAGTGAGAAACACTTTTCCCTCTTTTTGTATTTCTGTGAGCACGTAGACAATGCGTGCCAGCTGCTTATTTTTTTTTCCTTATGCTTTTATCCATGTCTAGGATTTTAACTTAGCATGTGCTTTGCACCAAGTATGTATTGGTATACTGAAAATCATTCATAAAATGCTAAGGAATTGAAATGGCACATCTAGTTTATTTTCCCACATAGTTAGCTTTTGGTTATTTGTTGAAAACAGTAACATGTAAACTTAACCCTTCAAGCTCCCACCGAAGAGTATTAAACAAAACCTTGCAGAACTTCATATTTTGACTTATGCAACTCTATAGATCCAATACAAGATATACGTGTATTTATATAGCATGAATAAAAACCGCTTCGTTTGTATGTGTAACAGGTCTGGAGCGGAAATATTCTGTATGTTGCTCTGCCTCAGTGGTGAAGTCAGACCTTTGATACTTTGCCGGTAATTAGGGACCCTCTTGGACAGGTACGATGTCAAATTCTCCTTTTTCTCTTCTGGAGCTCTTGGCCTGCCCCTGCAAGAGTCGTGGTCCATTGCCAATGGCATATTCTCTTTCTGAAGACCCTTGCTTGTGCTCTGCAGGGTGCCAGTGACACCAGTTCACCCAGTCATAACGAGGGTGTTAATCCAAATCCATGTTAATTAATCCATGTGAATACAATCCATGATGTATTCTGCAGCATATCTTTTGGTTAAGCTTATCTTAGCTATGAAAGCTTCCTGGGATCTCTCCGATCACTCAAAATATGGAAGTCATGCTGTCTTTGATTAATAAAAATGTCAAAAAAAGAAAATGCAGAAAGTGTGGTTATTTATTGGCACGCTGTTTATGGCTGGATATAACTCATCATTTCCATGTGAGATGTGTCCGCGCTTCCTATTCAGAGACTCAGTCAGTGCAAGTAGACTTCTCTCCCTTCTTCTCTGGAGATGGGTGCTATGTGTAGTCGGTTTGTTTTGGCAGAGTGATGATTTGCTTAGGGAGCTGTTTGATAGGACAAAGGGTAATGGCTTTAAATGGAAAGAGGGTAGATTCAGACAATATAAGGAAGAATTTCTTTATGATGGGGGCAGTGAAACAGTGGAACAGGTTGCCCAGAGAGGTGGTAGATGCCCCGTCCCTGGAAACATTCAAGGTCAGGTTGGACTGGGCTCTGAGCAACCTGATCTAGTTGAAGATATCCCTGCTCATTGCAGGGGTTTGGAATAGATGACCTCTGAAGATCCCTTCCAACCCAAACCATTCTGTGCTTGGAAATGAGGAGAGTTCATGATCATTGTCTAGATGAATTGACAATGATGTGGCGCTGAGGGGGAAGCAGCAGAATATGAGGTTCCTCAGGCTCTTCTACTTGAGAATTATCTCCTTGGAAATAATATCCCATGATCCGGGGGGGGGGGGGCGGGGTTTTCGTGACTACTTTAACAGCTGAAATGTGGCAGGTAACGTGCTTACTGTGATGGCTCTAGGAGCAATCTTGTCTGCAGTTTTCCGCTATTGCATGTTTTCATTCTCCTTTGTACTGATTAGATTTCTTTGTGGAAGTATTGGTTGTTTCTTCTCCTCCCCACCTTAGTCCTTAGCTTTAGTTAACCTCTAATATCTGTTTCAGGAGGGAAAACAGTTACATAGGATATTTCTCAAGTTGTAAATGATCTTACTAGAAACAGTTTGCTTGAAGTGTGTGGCCAAGTTGAACAGAAAGCAGTTTATTTTATATTTGTGAAGCCAGACAACTGGAAAACAGTATTTTCCTCCGTCACTGGCTAATTACAGTTTGAGCCTTTTGATGTGCATTCTCAATCTAACAGATGCTAAAAATGGTGATTTGATGTTGTGCTAGAAAGAAGAAAACAGTCTGTGGTTTCCCACTGTCTTGTCCTTCCATCTTTTTATTTCTCATCTTACTAATTTCCCATCTGATTAAGAAAAGCAGACACTTAAAAGGCAGTAATTTCTGCACAGTGACTTTTTCCACTGATGCACTACCATTTGTCAAACTGTTGCTTGTTTTAGATGAAAAAGTGGTATTAAAGCACTGACTCAATATACAGTCACATGAAGGTTGGGACAGAGAAGGTATCATCTTGTGTTAGACAAGCTGATAGATCCCTTATGCTTAAACCATTTTGTTTGCAGCGTTTTTGCTCTACTATATTGTCAATGTCTCTCTTTTGGTGGTTGGCACTTCTAAGCCTGTTTGATTGCTGTATGTAAAATATTCATTTTTTGTTCTATTTTCATAAGTGCAAAAAGAATCTCTGTTTCGTCTGTCTGATAATAGTTTGAACAATCATTTTTAATATTTGGGTTTTGATGGCCTTGAACACTTGCTTGTCTAATCTATCATATTTCTCCTTTCTTTGTCTCCTAGAAGCAGCTTGAGCAACAAGTCCTTGTGTTTTGCACTCTAGAAGGTCACTTCTTTTGTAAAGATCAACAGGGACATGGTTTAATTTTTGTGGTGAGAATGCATGTAGCAAAGTAAAAGAATTTGCAGAGGCAACTGCTATGACAGCAGCTAACTTAGAAAAAAATAGGTTTCAAGTGGAAAGCATCCCTTTTGCCACTCTCCTGGGAAAGGCAGATTAGTAACATAGGCTGATTCTCATCTTATACCATTTACAAGCTAAATGGTGATGCGAGGTCTCATGGTTTGGTGTAAATTTGCATCTTCTAAGCCTGCGTGGTCTGCCTGGGGAACTCTCTCCTGCAGAGTTATCAAACAGCTACTGCTGCTTGAACATTGGCTCTTCTCCCACTTGGTACTGTATTACATCCAGATTTGATGGCCAGCCCTCAAAGGTGAGTAACCAGAACCATTGACACCTTAGATCAAATATATTTCTGTTTAGTGATAGTAAGACAACATAGTCCAGGGTGCCCGTGATCAGTTCTGCATACAAGATCGCATCAGTGCAAATAGTTGGTTTTGCTTTAAGTTTGCGTACATTTTAAAGGCAGCTCCATCTTTGCTCCGAGTTACAGAGCAAACAACCCTTATTGCTCAAGCAGGGCAACCTACAGCCAGTTGCCCAGAACCACAGCCAGACGGCTTTTGAATATCCCCAAGGATGGAGACGCCACCACCTCTCTGGGGAACCTGTGTCAGTGCTCGGTCATCCCCGGTCCCAGGAAAAAAAATGTTTCCTGATGTTCAGAGGGAACCTCCTGTGTTTCAGTTTGTGCCCATGGCCTCTGGTCCTGTCACTGGTCACCACTGAAAAGATCCTGGCTCGGTCCTCTTTGCACCCTCCCTTCAGGTATTTAGAGACATTGATAAGGTCCCTCTTTGAGCCTTCTCCAAGCTGAACAGTCCCAGCTCTCTCGGCCGTTCGTTTTAGGAGATATGCTCCAGTCCCTTCATCATCTTGGTAGCCCTTTTTTGCTGGATTCTCTCCAGTATGTCCAGGCCTCTCTTGTACTGGGGAGCCCAGAACCAGACACAGCACCCCAGATGTGGTCTCACCAGTGCTGAGCAGGGGGAAGGATCACCTCCCTTGAGCTGCTGGCAATACTTTGCTTAATGCAGCCCAGGATCCCATTTGCCTTCTTTGTGGCAAGGGTACATTACTGGCTCGTGTTCAACTTGGTGTTTACCAGGACCCTCAAGTCCTCTTTCACAAAGCTACTTTCCAACTGGTTGGCTCCCAGAATCTACCGGTGCCTGGGATTATTCCCAGTCTTTGGGTGGGTGTCACAAAATGGGGCTTGAATCCCAGGAACTCTTAAGTTTAGGCCACACTCACCGGGGAGTGCAGGTACCAGGTATTTTGAGTGGTTTAGCTGTGGAAGATACAGGACAGTGCAAAATATTTTCAGGGTAAACTGCTCTATTACTGTGCAAATGTGCCTATTGCTCTCTGCAGTGAGGGCTGGTAACTTGACACTATTGTCTGGATTTTTTTGTTCTGTTTTGGTTTTTTTATTTTTAATTATCTAAATGGTTTGTTCTGTTCTGAATTAGTGGCATGACTAAAATCTCATCCTTAGCTGTTTACTTTTGAGCATGCTTTTTTTTATGCCAATGCACGTCATTTATATACTAATGGCCATCTAATCATCAAAGAGTATTCCTCGCTGCATCTGCTTCTCAGTATTCATTGCTCTCATAACTGTAAGTCCCATTTTGGAGGACACAAGTTCACAAAGGACTTATTTCTCCCTACAGGCATATGAAGGTGGTAGCAAATGGAAGCTGGAGTAGCAGCAAGCAGCATGTGCAGAAATTCGTTCTTGTGATCTGTCTCTGCCATTAATTCCTCCTTTATCGCCTCACCCTGCTTTCTGCCTTCTGCATGGTGGCGACTAGCTGTCCTTTGGCTCCAACTTGGGCATGCAGAGCTTGGAAGCCCCGTGGTACTGGGGGAAGGTGGAGCTGATACACCTGGT